AAGAATGGCTTCCAATGAGTCTCTGCAGGTATTGTGCAAGGTCCTTGAATATTTGTTCTTGACCCTGATGGTGTAATGAGGATTTTAGTTTCATTATTTCATTCCTAGTTTTAGATTTATTTATTATATCTTCAAATTACTTTAGCTACCCAAACTTTCCAGATGTACTCCCCCTACATTAATGGTGGCACCATGGTTGTGAATGCGATCAGGAAAAGAGTGTACTGGAATTTAGAAATTCAAAGCTTGTTCTTCATGAGATTCTTAATGAAAAGTCCTGGGAGTAGTGAAATGGCACTTGGCTTCTTTTCCACAATTATGAACATATCTAAAGGGAAGCTGCAAAGAAGACTGCCCTTCTGTTTCTTGGATACATCTTTCAGAATAAGATAAAGATACAGAAAAGAGAACAATACTATTTCATGAATTGAACTTTTGAGGAAAAGGAATTGATCAGACACTCATTTGGCAGTGATTTATTAAGCACCTACTATGTAGTCAAATACACATTATGTAAGGCTACTTCAGAAATAAATGACACAATTTTGCTTTTTAGCATCTACAAGATGATACTCATCAGTATGTTAACCTTTTGGCAGAAAAGGAAATAATAATAAGAGGGAAAAACTGGAAAAACAAGAGAATACCTTCAAAACAGCCCACAGCCCTGCATACAGATAAGCAAAGATGAACATATTGAAAGTAGCATTTTATGATCCCTTTCTGGTCTTTTTTCTTGTTTGCCCTTACACACAAAATTTTGTTGCTAAACAAGGGACAGACACTGTGGAAGTTTCTGTTCTAAAACTGAACCAAAACAAAAAGCTACCTCGATCTTCTTTTTCTTCTGTTTTTTTGGGTAGTGGTAGCAGATGTTGGTGGTTTCTTTGGCCAAAAAGCTGCCTAGATTGATCCAGCCCTGGAGCCAGAAGCAGCTCAGCATCCTGTTCTCTGGATATGCACAGTTCCTGGGGCTCTGTATCGCCCTTCTCAAGCCCCTAGACACCAAGCGAGAGAGGCCAGGAAGTAGTGTACAGGAGGGAGGAGGAGGAGGCTGAGGCATGCATAGCTAGAGTTGGAAGTCAAGAAGACAGCACATTTCAGAGACTGATGAGACACCTTATGGCTAAGTTCTTGGTTCATAACACATAATTTAAAACAACTATACAAGAGGCAAAAGCCTAGGCCAACAATTTTTCTGGCTATGCACATAGTCCTTCCTGTTTTTGGTCTATATTTTTATTTACATGTTTTTTTTTTAAATCTAACTGAATATGCTTTGGAAAAAATTGGTGGATCCAAATACTAGCCATATTGATCCTTTTGTTTAAGGTCTGGAAATGCACTGAGAAGAATCCTTATATTACCACTCTTGTACCACTCATGGTCAGTGGCAGGTACTCAGGAAGAGTTGCCACCATATTTTCCCATTACCGGATGCCAAAATTGCATCACTTTAGGAACATCGTGCAGGAAAGATGCAGGCCTTATAGTAACATTTTGGAATGAAGTGGTCATTGCTTGCAGCTTTTTCCCTTCTTTTTCTTTTTTGTAAAGGTTTATTTTTATTTTATTTTATTTTTCCTAGAATGAGTTTATGATTGCCAACATTTGTGATATTTCACCCCGATGAAAAGCTTTCTTGGTGCATTCTGTCAGTTTTTATGGGCAGAGTAGGTGTTTTTTTTCTACCAAGCACAGGAAATTAACTACTGGGACTCTTCTAATGGGTAATGAAGGGGGGGAAAGATGATCCACTCAGTAAGAATGACAGCTAGAATCACCAGTGCCCAACTGTCTTCCTTATAACCTAACCCATTTCATTTCTCCTCTTGCAAAAACATTACTCTGCTCTTCAAGAATAAGCACTTTGGAAATCATCTCAAGATGTGAGGAATGGGATGATAGAAGGCTAGTCATCCTGAGCAGTCTCTCTGGCCAAACAAGGGCTTTTTTAAATTCACTGCTCCTCAGTTCTCCTTCCTGGCCAAGCCTGTTAAGCATCTCTTTCCTTCTGACTTTAGATCTGTTCGTGTGTTTTTTCTTCAATGATCTTGGGGCAATAGCCTTGACCATGCAAGAAGAAAAACCAATGGGACTTTGAAGAAAATATAGAAATAAAAAGAAAATAGTTGGCCACAAAGGGCAAGATACTGAGGCCAGGCTGAAATTCAGGATGCACCAGGGTGGTCTCTATACTGGCCCCCCTCTCCTTGGATGTACAGATGGAACAGTCAAGCTCTTTGTCCTACAGCTGCCTGAGGAATCCCCAGGGGATGAGTGGCACAACCAAGGCCAGGGATGTTATCACACAGAAGAGTGGGCTTCTTCCCAGGGACTGGTGCCACCTTCACCTTTAAGAATGTTTAGCATGGGCTGGCAGCCCAGGCCACTTGGCACTTACTGCAAAATCAATGATAATATGACTTTTCAGAGCTTCTGTTCTAGGCCATGTGGGAAGATTTGGGATGGAAAAAAAATTGCTGGTGACCTGTCAGTTGGTGATCTGCTGGGGAGCCTTTAATTCCCAATTATAGCCCATTAAACCCCACAAAATGTTCACATGAGAAGTCCCACAAAAATGTATTCACAGATTCCATGAGCTCAGAAGGAGTCTCATGTGCAAGTCTCTCATTCAAATGTCTGTTCTGATTTTGCTGCTCTTCCCCATGAGTCCTGGGGAAGAGCTTGTGCTGCCCTCCATGCATAGAAAGCAGCTTACTTGTGGTGTTACCTTCCCCATTTAGTGCTTCACGTAAAGGAAAGCAGAGGTTACCCAATGGGATGAGTGTGTAGACAATGGAGGTGACGGAACACTGGGAGAAGAGGATTCAGTGAGGGAAAGGCAGGGAGTGAGAATATGGGGAGTCTCCTCGTGGCTAAAATCTATGCTTGGCTTGAGGAAAGTTGGATTTGGGATGTCTGAAGGAGTAGAAAATGAGCCTGGGAGTTTAAGAATGAGATAAAGATTGGACATAAAAAGTTAGGGGTCATGAGCATCACATGGACACTTGACCCAAGGGGTAAATTAGATCAACATGAGAAAATGCAAGGTGAGAAGATGGACTGAGATGGTCTGGTGGCCACACCCATGCCTGGATACTGGGGAGCCCATTGCCTGTTGTGAGCTCTTCACTTTCTGGGACACTTGCTTCCCCATCCATGACATAGGGTGTGGAAAAATCCTCAGAGCACGTGGAACTCACCAGGAGAAACTGTCTATAAAATGACCCTTTAAAAACTGCTTGGTGTCTTTCCATCCATCATGGGCCAACATGAAGGCACAATGACTCAGAAGAGGACAACCAGGGAAGGCGTATACCTGGTTTTCTCCTACTCGAGCCTTTGAAAGGAGCCTAGGGTTATTTATTATGCACAACACAGAGAAGCAGAGAATGCCTATTACCACTGTGCAGAGGATTTTTGGCCATCACAGTACATTAAATGCTGTTACTTCCACCCCCACTGCCTGCCCCTCTCTCTTGTATCAAGCTCCATTGTGCAGCAGAGGCTAGGAGGCTCTGGGAGGCAGGTTTCTGGGGAGAACTCACCCTGGGGTCTCTCTCCAGCTGCTGCTTATGCTGCAGGCTGCGTCTTCTCTTAGCTTTTGCGAGGCCATTGTGATAAAAGTGGTAAAGGCCTTCTGCGAAGGGGAGCTGTGGAGACCAAACAAACACAGTGATGGTTAGCTTCTGGGTTGGCCCAGGGACGGTGACTTAGTTGGGGCTATATGCAGGAACTCCAAGAGGTGAGGTGTGTGTGAGCAAACCATTGTCAAACCTCCTATGAGACTTGGTCATCTGTTTTCCCTCCTCTGTACTCCTTGCATATTCTTATCTACTGCTCTTTTTGCTTTTTCCTTCCCAAATACCTTCTATTCTTTTCCCCAGTTTTAGTTTCTCTACATCCTGGATTCCTTCTCCTCTTCCATAGATTCTTGTCTGCATATTCATACCTTCATAAAATTCTCTATTCTCTTCTTCTGGGCTAATGTTTACATTCTGTGTATCAACTGGTTGCTTCAGGGTTGGATTATGATCTTATCCTGTCTTTACAGCTAGATTGTTCTGTGTCATGTGCTTACTCTGTGATCCCTTGGTGCTTTTTATCAGGCCAGGTACAGTGCAACCATCTAAATCTAGTGATACGTGTTGAGTGACAAGCCATGTTTCCCTCTGACTTTCAGTCCCTAGAATGCTTGGACTCAGCAGTGAGGGTAACAGTCAGATAGTGTGATGGCTGATGAGCTCATAATTGGGGATTTTCTTGGATCTGTGGGTTAAAAGTGGGTATGAGAATATGGATTAAGAGTGTGTAATAACTAAATTAGTCCACTGATTGGTTTAGCATGGGTGTGTATAGTGGGAAATCCCACCCTGGGCATAGGTGGCACCAACCAATAGGCTTGTAGACTGAATGAATAAAAAGGGAAAGGGAGGCTTATTTCTATTGCTGTGCTGCCTCCTGCCTGCCCAGGCTTGGACTGTTTCTCCTGTGTCATGCCCCTCTGCCCCGCTGCCCTGCCTTGGAGGCAGTCAACTACAAACTGAAACCTCTACAAAATATGAACTAAAATAAACTTTTTCTTCTTTAAGTTGTGGGTATTGGGTATTGTGTCTCAAAGATGAGAAAAGTAGCTAAGACAGATGAAGAAGCCACAATAATGACAGCTTATCTTTGGCACAGAGCCTCTAAGAATTCCTAGAGCCCTAAGGGGATCACCATTTCATCTATGATTCTAGGTGACTTGGGGAAGAACTTTGACATGAAAGTTGAGATATTTGAATGGCTCTCATGTTCTGGTACCATCTAACAAGATAGCCTTGGACAAGTCACTTCTCTTACTGTCTTTTTCTCCTCTGTATAAATACAAGGACTTCAAATTCCAAGATCTCTGCCCTTTCTTCATATATCTTTATTCTGATGAATTTATGTGGTTCTTAACCTCATCAATTAATTTGATTGCATATTTGAAAATTATAGGAAAATAGTGTACATATGTACATTTTCCTGGAAAGAGTACATAAGGTTTTCATGAAAATGTGAAAGGAGTCTTTGAAATACAGTGTTTCACTGTTCAAAGTATTTGTCATTGAAATTTAAATTTCAGTGTTTGAAAGAAAAGGAAAAGGGATATGACTGCTTTGAAAGGAAGTTCTTACAAATTAAATGGAGTTAAGCCTTTTTTTTTTTTTTAGCTCAAGTAGAGCTTCAATGTGTCACAAATATTTCTTAAGAAACATTTATAGCAAATTAGTGAAGAAAATTGCAAACAACAAAATAGAAATCCCTCACAGTTTTTAAAAGCAGTATTGGGTGTAAGTTTTTATATATATATATATATATATATATTTTTTTTTTTTTTTTGGTTCAGGAAGTGAACTCAGGACCTTGCACTTGCCAGGCAGGCACTTGTGTGGCTGAGCTATATCCCCAACAGCTATCTTTTTTTGCTCCAGTTCACTTACTATCAGGAGCAACCCCTATTTTCTGTATAATAAAATGTGTTAGTTTCAGGTGTTCCTCTTTGGCTAACATGCTTGGACATTCACATACACACAGAACTACACAGAATATGTATGATCATATAAAATGAATTTTCACTTATCACTCATATTTTACCATAAAGTTCTACTCTGTATCTCCTTATTTACTGTAGAGTATTCCATTCTATCATGATTGATTTAGCATTTCCATTATTGATGTATATTCAGCTCTTCCTTCCTTCCTCCCTCCTTCTTTTGTTCCTCCCTTTCTCTCTTCTTCCTTTTTCCCTCTGTCCCTCTTTCCCTCCTTTTTTCCTTTCTTCCTTCTTAAAGGTAAAAATGAAGGTGCCCTTCATGCACAATGGAGTAAGAACCTCCAAAATCTTCTCTTAAAACTAAACAATGAATGAAATACTGCCAAATCAACTCACTTGGAACTCTAGAAATTAACAGAAAGTTTGCAACATCTGGTGGAACATTTATTTAATAAAAACAGTAGAATGTCGATACTAATAGCAAGATTTTGGGACACTTGACTTTGCCCTATTTGCATCCTCTTCTCCCCAGATGTACAATATTTTTGAAAGCCAATAGCTCTTCTGTTAAATAAGCAGTGAAAATCAGCAAGCTAACAGGTGCTGGTAGGTTTGGAGCTATTCACAGAATGCCACTCCTAGATAATTTTGTACAAGATATCTGGCAAAATTCCATTCATAGGGTTGGTTGTTATTTGATCTGATGCAGAGTTTACTCAATAGGAAAAGACCCGTTTCCAATGTTTGTTGAAAAGAATGTATGGCAATTTTAAAAAACAGCATAGCTTCCTGGGGCAGCTATACCAAATGGGGAAAAGGAGAAACTGGCCAACAAACTTAAAGGAAAGACATAAAGAATGTGATGTATATTCAGCCACTCAGAGGGCTTTACAATATTCCAATATAGTTACAAAGACTTAAAAGTCTATACCCATGTGGAGAGCTGTGCACACAACCAGGAAAAGTCTAAGAAGATCCTAATTTTTTATGTTTAGTCAACCTTAAAGCTCTGTGAAGGCAGGTTGTGAAGGCCAAGGCAAAGCTGTAACCACTCTGCCTAAGCACTGACGGCATGCCTCAATATAGCCACAAAACCCCTCACCACAAGGTGAAAAATCTTTTTCAATTCAGCTTTTTAAAGAAATCTCTCAGTCATTAGGTTATCATTAAGCTAACCAATGGAGATTCAATGGAACACTATATAAGTTACAGACTTTACAGTACTAGTTCAGAAAGGAACTAAACAAACAAATAGCCACAAACCAGAACATTAACATAATAAATGCAGAAAAACTACAATAAACAACAAATAAAAAAAGACCTCAGGAGAGTCATGAATTTGATTTCCAGAGTTGCCACATTATAATTATTTAAAATGACCAGTTTTCAGGAAGAAACTAGCCGACACACAAAAACCAGGAATATGTGGCCCATGTATAGGTTAAAAAAAAAAAAAAATCAGTAAAAACATACTTAGGGAGCCCAGATGTAGATTTACTAGACAAAGACTTTAAATCAGCAATTAAAAATATGGTCAAAGAGCTAAAGGATTTGGTACATGCACATAGCACATACATGTACCAACTCCACACAGGGAATGTAAACATTATGAATTGCAGACATGTACAAAAAATGTAGGTGATAAAAGGATGAGTGGAGAGGGGAGGGAGGGAAGAAAGAGGGGATGAAAAAAGTAATTAAAATGTGTTATGTGCATGTACCAACTTCTTACATGGAATGTAAATGTTATGTACTACATACATATACTAATAAACTAAAATAATAAAAAAATTAAAATAGAGATATAGTTTTAAATAAACAAAGAGGCAAAGGATACCATGTATAAAGAATTAAGGGAAAAATATGAAAAATGATGAATCATCAAACAGAGAATATAAAGATCTAGGAATTATCTAAAAAACTAGAAATCCTAGCTAAAAAGTACAGTAACTTAAATGAAAAAATTCTTCCTGGGCCTCAATAACAGATTTGAGATGGCAGAACCATCACTGAACACAAATATAGGTCAATTGAAATTCTTCAGTTTGAGAAAAAGAAATGAAGCACAATGAGCAGAGAAATCCTCAGAGACTTGTGGGAGCCCATCAAACATGAACATGCACACAACAGGGGTCTCAGAAGGAGAGAGAAAGAGATAAGAAGACTGTTGAAGAAATAATGACTGGAAATTAGTGAACAGCATTAATATACTTATCTAAGAAGCTCAGTAAAACTAGTTGGATAAATTCAGAGAGCTACACAGAGTCACAGCATAATGACATTGTCAAAAATTAAAGAATCTTGAAAGTAGCAAGAATCGAAATGTACACGACATGCTCAGTAAGACTGACAACTGACTTCTCACCAGAAGCCATGCATGTGAGAAGATAATGGGATGATACATTCTAAAAGTCAACCAATAATTCTGTAAACTTGCCTTCATAAGATAAAGAAAAACATCATACATTCTCAGAAAAACAAAATATGAGGAAACTCATCAGGTCTGCTCTAAAGGAAGTACTGATTTCAGACCAAAATGAAAAAGCACTAGTCAGGGGCTGGGGATTTAGCTCAGCAGCACAGTGCCTGCCTGGCAAGTGCAAGGTCATGAGTTCGATTCCCAGTACCAGAGAAAAACAAACAAAAAAAAAGCACTAGACAATGCAAATCCACAGAAGAAATAATTAACACTAGGAAAATCAACAGTGAAGGAAAAATTTCACTAAAAGTCAGAAGACATGAATAAATTTTTAGGGAATAATCTGAATATATGTATGCCAATAAGTTAGATACCAATTTTGGTGAAGTAGACAAATTCCTAGAAAGACATAAATCTCTGCTAGATCAACGGGTAATAGAAAATGTGAATAGACCTACAATAAATAGACTGAATTAGTAGTTTAAAAACTCAGGCCCAAATCACTTCACTGGTAAATTCTATCAAACATTTAAAGAACTGATACCAATCATTTGGATACTCTTTCAAAAAATAAAAGAGAAAGAAACTTCCCAATGTCTTAATTGAAGCTACTATTACCCTTACATGACAATTAAATAAAGATATTACATGAAAATACAACTACAATTCCTTTCAAATGTATAACTAAATTCCTTGTAAAAAAAGTACCAGCAAGT